TGTAAGGTCTGCCTGTCAAAATCCCGTGCCCCGTAAAAACAACAAAAAATATTAATAAGTGCACGGTGAAACATAAAAAAATTTTGTTATCCCACCTGTTTGCCATTTTCCCTTGTTTAACTGTCCCTCCATCTTTCCACCTCCTCCCCCCCATTTTTGTTAATGTTATTATTGTTGTAGCTATTTAATCCTCAATTATATTTTTCGCTGACATTTTCACTATGCCTGTGAGCAATTCTTCTCCACCTTCATAGAACGATGGACGAAGTTGACACTAACAGCTCATCCCCGGTTGATTTTCATTATATTCGAAATTTTTCCGGAAACAAATTTTGCAACAATGTGCTGTTGTGTTCTTTATTCAAGTTCTTATCGGGAGAAGATTGCCTCAAACCGATGACTAACAGTTCAGTAAGTTCTTTTTATGGACTATGGCTAGACAGAACGGGATACGGGGAGATGTGCCAAACGATGACGCGCCACACTGTTGTTATCCGAAAGTTGGGATGTGTGCTTTTCACCTGCAGCCCCTTATTCGGTAAACCTGAACCCGTGTCTAGATTGGAAGACCAGATACTGAGGGTGCCTAACCGTCTAATTTAAGACGATTTGGGTCAGGGAGACAGAGAGAAGATAATAGGGAATTATTGAATAACGAAAATATCAGAATGATCAACACGAGATGAGTGAAGTCAAAGTAAGTTCATGCATAAAGAGTGAAAGAAAAACAATGTTCAGGTTATTGCATCGAATGAAAGTTATTCTTTATGTCCAGATTTCTCCCCCTCTTCGGTGCACTGGTCGATTTGAGTTTTGCTCAGTTCTGCGTCTTTTGTTTTCTTCATCTCGAGCAGTTCATCCTGCAAAAGAGAAACAATAAAAAGGTTGAAACTCCCTCAATGGTAGACAATGGAAAACTAATTCCCTCAAGCGCCGACATAAGAGAGAAGGGATGCTGTTATGTACATAGGAATTCATAACACACACAATCAAGCGTCCACAAGTAAACCCGGAGATTTGCATGAGACTAATAAGTCCCATATGACGGGCAATTTTTCAACCGAGTTATCTCGGGAACACCCATTGAAGAGTGCTCTAACACGCAATCCCGAATATATCCGGCGACTCATAGTCGAAACCTTGGAACTTTTTAACATACCAGACTATACAAGAGTATCCGGAAAACCATTATGTATTAAAATAGCTGGCAGTACAACCATTCGGTAGGTAGTGAGTCGCATGTTCGACGTCTGTTCGCGGAGCGACGACTTTCAGATAATTATCACACGTGTGATTAAAAAACTCAAGCAAAATAATGGACAACAGATGAAGATAAGGAGAAAAGTGAAAATCATTACTTTCCAACCCAAAAGATCAGCCAGGCGCAAAACCGAATCATCTGCATCACCGGGGACAAATACATCACGTTTGTTTTCGGCGGCATCCCATGGAATACCGTCCTGCAGAAACAGAGAGAAAAACATTGATGGTTGAGACACAGCCCGTTCCAGTATGAATTAACGAACCGAAGAGATTTACCCCGCTCAAATGAAATGGGATTTCTAAAAGGTCAAAAAATCTAAAAAGCCGGAGGCAAAGCTACACTACGCTATCTTAATCGATAGGGCAAAGTGAGTGAGTTGAATGACTGAAAAAGATTAGGCGATCCAAACCCGAAGTAGTATATCCTTCAACTCTAAGTACACAAGAGTAGTCATAGAACGCCCGGACATCTGATAACTGTCCGGTTTTCAACGCAATATCACAAAAGGACTCGTTAAACTAAAGGAGAAACGATATGCTAAACAGAAACCGGTCGCCATTTAGGACATCTGTTGTACTAGTGATTCATGCACTCGTCAATTGACAATCCTCTTTTTCAGGCAGTTCACGGCATTTTTCATCAATCACGCAATCATTTTGTGGATTGCATACAGCAAATTATCATATATGCAGCCAAACTAGATCAAACTGTGGGCAATCGACTGTAAGATAAATTCACATTTCAAGACTACTCGGAATAATAAATATACGGAGAACTGGATGAGACAAATCTGGCTAACTCGGAGTATCACGAAACGGCCAAAGGACTGGCGAAAAATCCAACACGCCTTGTCGTCAAGTCATAAAAACAGTCTGTGAAATTCGTTCGAACTGGGTGATAGCAGTAGAGACATTGGGCACTAGAGACAGATTAGCGCTTTACACTGATATCATATCTCTCACAAGAACAAGCAACACTTGAAAGGATAGCCCAAGTCTTTTATGACTACATCAAATGGACCCAAATATCAAACTTCCTTCAGCTTTTCGAGGCGACGCCTAGTTTACATGTGAAGATATATTGCACCAATCAAAAATTATTAGTGTCTGTTGATTCTTCTCAGAATCATTTGTTCTTTCGGCTCATTGCCCACTCTATCGCTTCTTGTTTGTCCCGTTGACATTCGTTTCGTTCTGGTTATCGATTTCTTATATAATCAAGCGAGTACATAGTTCTCTCAGACTTTGACACCTCAATGGACATGCATACACGCACACCGCTCACTCGTATGACTTCAATCACACGAGTTCTCTTGTGACCTCCATTGCTCCTTACTATTGGTTGACCTATGTTCCGTCTACCCTTGTTCTGTACCGGTTCACCGCTTATCATTTATCGATTATTTAACCACCTACGCACATGTGATCTGTTTTCATGGCTCCTTGGGAGTCACCTGTTCATGTACACACACATGCATGCATGCATGCACACACACCTGTCGTTGTTTGTTAAGAGGTCGAATTGTGTGCGCCCAACTCTCTTATGATTGGCTCATCTTTTGGGAGCTTCATGTCACTGCCTGACTGAACTTATTTTGCTTGGCTCCGTAAACTTTCCCCTTTTGAAGCACCTTGATTGTAAGATGTGTTTCGACACAGCCGACAGCTGTCATATTCCTATTTGATGCACTTATATCTGGAAGTGCCTTGACGACCGTCCCAACCCAGATACCTCACAAACCGAGGTTTGTATACTATTTATCATGTCCTTAATTAATTCGCATTAATAGTACCGTATCACGAGACAGTCTTGGTTGTCATTGCATTGGAATCGGGACTTTGCGCGTCACTTATCGTCAGGTTTAACAGGGGAAGGCAGTCCTTCTAATTCCGCAGAAAAGGAATTAACAGTGTCTATGACAGTCAACGGTGCATGATTGTTCCAGAGACAATTTATCCAAATACAAGGCAACATCAAAAAGTGACTCACAAATCCGAACACGGATGCTTCCCGATTCAGGTAAACGCGAGGCACATTCGAACCAACGCGATTAACCAGCATGCAGAAAGGAGCCACACTGAGAGATGTGCCCATAATGATCAGCAAATCACAGACAGGAAAATCCTGAGAGAAGTGGGAAAAAGTATTGGGAAAACCGAACTGTAATAACAACATTAGATTTCATAAAGCTAGGGACGAAAATCGAAAACCTCTAGATTTTTAGTGATTATCAAAAAGAACACGGGTTTACACAATGAAGCAGGAAAGGTAACGATAACTTATATTCAGAAAAGACGATACAGGATTAATGCTTGTTAGCCCTGTTCTATCGTTGATTTGATGTACTCCTATGTAAGACACAAAGGCAGACCAGGTCGGTGACAATGCAATTTCTGGTGCACAGGAAACAAAACAGATAGAAGAAAGAGAGACAAATTATGATTACAGCCAACAATCATAAAAACCCCGACAAACTTAGCTTAGAAACGAAAATTGTCACCTTCTTTAGCGTGAAAGTTAGCACCCAAGAACCTGACATCATGTATATGAGAAAACCGGGGGATGCAGTAGACGAGCACTTTGAGTCGTTGGAAATTACCGATCTGTAAGTTCACGTTCTGCAATTGCCGTTCCACTCTGGGTACGGTTAAGTTCATCTGCCTTAGTATTTCATTAATGCTACTGGGGCCTCAAGTGATCCAGCGTCACAGGATTCTGAGTTAACATTGCGGACTTACACATAAGGGCATAATGAATTCCGTTGATAAACCAGTGCACATCCCTGACTGAGCAGTATAACGCAATGTGTAAAAATAATTTAGATTTGATGGTTGTAATAAGAGAGGCAATTGGCACATGAGATGTAAACTTGGAGGCGCAAGAGAAAAGACGACAATCAATATTTTGTGCCTGTCGCCAAACACAGCACGCAGTAGTTGGAAACAAGAACCACTACCCACCTTTATTTTTTTCATTTACCAAACTTCACGTAGTTGAGACAAATTTGAATTTCCCCGAAAGAAATTCGGATTATCAAAAAGAAAAGATTCCTGATACATCATGTCCTTCAAACGAGCAGACTAGTGCCAAAATCTGAATGTCAAGGTGACAGGTAAAACAGTGCTTTATGATTGTTTATGACCATTCGAATTGGCATCTCTTCTCACTACCTGTTTTGGGTTGAGGATACAAACAACGCAGTCAAGGCGTTTCGGGTACTTTGCTATCGAACAATGGTCGAGAAATGACTTTTTCGTGCACTCACCTTCTACATATACCATAATACTTGGATGGATAGATAACGAAATACAACAATTTTTGTTCTGAATCATGATGCAGTGAACATAAGACGGGATGAATCCCATATTCACAATGATTTATTGTTTAGCTAAGTTAGGTGGAGTATTAAACCACACAGGACAGTCACAGGATGGGAGCGGTATTTAGTTAGATGGAAGCAAAAATCTGGTCGCGCATGCACTTTAACATTTAACAGTAGGTGTACATCAAACTAAAAATTAAGATAATATGATCATTCTGCCTACATTCCATTCTGTCATTCTATAAATGTGTATTTTGCGAAACAACTATAAGAAATAAGAAATTTTGTATGAATTCATTTACGCGAATTATTGGTGAGAAAATCGTTCTGTTGAAGTAACATCATATACCAAGTACGAGTACATGCAGACTTTAGAAAAAAATACGGTTACTCTTACATCAATTGTGAATTAGGTCTGGGCACGTGATTGAACGTAATACGTGTCAGAAACTCAATCCAATTCATCGGCACAGTGAACGGAGGGCGCTATTTCGCAAAAGTCATCACCGAAATCTGTTTGGTTGAATGTACTATGATCTGAAAGGATGTCACACAACAATACGACTGTCTCACACTCACGGTGGAGTTTTCCTCAAATCAGATCACGGGATGCATTTCCACGGTAAAAATGAGACCACGGAATTGAAACGCACGGGGCAATTCAAGTTAATAGAAATAGTAACACGTGGACAATAAGGATGAACCAGTCTGATATACAGTACGCAACTGATGAACTTTATGGTTTCGCTCGTTTATTGGTGACGAGAATGATGATAGTTGACAATTAATCGGAACCCGAGAAATGATCAATGTACAGATGTAAATATATTGCGGCATCTGTACATGTACTAAGCATTCGATAACATCAGTGCTGTCAAAAGTACATAGAAATAACGCAAACCTCCGCTTTTCCAGACAAAATATTACGCATGTCCTACATGTTTATAACAGATGGCAAAGAACGATTAGAAGGAAAATCGATGTTTATGCTAAGGAACGGTTTAAGAGTAGCTGAAGTGAATACTACACTCCTTTCTATTTAACGCATCACGTGTGTGACCAACTCCAAAATGGTGATCGTGATCGAGTAAGCGCGAACATAAACAAACAACGAAAAAGAGCGAGGTACACTCCACTGATCATACACCCCCAAAGCTCATCCGGCTTAGTGGCTGGACACCCTAGCAATACCCGTTCATCAAACCCCAATGCATATGTATTGCGAGTTTGGCGGCGATCAGTAAAGTTCGCTTCCGTGTATTTTGCTGTACGATGACGTCGGGGAATTCGCAAGGACTAAGACAAAAAAGGGGTTAAACTAACGGATGTAACAATGTGTTCAAGGTTTAGGCAATCAACAGTGTGGCTTAGGGGTAGGTGTGAGCTCTGGCTCTCAATCTCAGTGTCAGGCAGGGACCTGAATAGGGGGACGAACTGCTGATAGACCTCAACAAGGACGGAACAGCCTTTTGGTATCCCTTGTTGACCGAACAAACGATTTCGTTAAGCCAAAAAAGAAACAGAACAGATTTTCTTAAAGGGGGCAAAACAAAGTGAAATAAGCCATTCAAGAGCAAATTCAATATGGAACAGCAGTAAAGCAGAAATAATTGCGCTGTAGGACGATATTCGCAACTTTTCAGTTTGAGTGAGAATTCACATCCAACATAGACAATCGCACCAGAGTTACTTTGTCCGAGCCTTGGAAAAGCGTGTGATCATTTATTTCAATGAGTTAGTATCATTAGTAGAAAAAGTGTTTGAGAAGGACAATTAATCGACAAGGTTCGAACCACGATCCTCCGTACGAAGGCCGAAGATAGTCAACTTCTAGTTTCATCACATCATTAAGCACTTCGACACAATTCAAGAGGACCCAGTTGAGTTGGGGCCTTATCTCAGAACATGCAAACAACATTATCAACGTCAAATGGCTTTTTTCCACTCCCTACCTTTTATTATACAATATACAAGTAACAATCACAACACAGTTGCTCACCATTAGGTAACAACGAAGATAATAAAAAAGAGCATATCTCACCTCTGAAAGACTTGAGTAAAATTTCAATGGTAATCCTTCGCCAAAAAATATAATGTCTGCACTCATAATGGGCGGTTGAGGTGAAACATATTTCCCTACCTGGTTTGACAACACCTTGACAGTCTTTGACGTCACACTTTGGAACTTCTTTATTCATAATTCGAACTGTTATGCTAAAAGTCGAACTTTTCACGAGGTGGCACTTACCCCGCATAAACTCAAATTCGTAAGGTTTTTTGCAAATCATACAATGTCCTGAGTTGAAACTTCCATGGGCTTCTACAATTTTTTCATCTGGAAGACCAGCCAATCTCTCCAAGTTATCCACATTCTGAAAATTTCAAAATGATTAATTGAGATAGACGTACCTGTGTGAAATGCCTTAGCAACAATTTCTTCTCATTCAATAACCGACAGAAATAGTGAACCAGTGTTGGCTGAAAACTTGAGTTACTATTGAATGACATGTACCTTCGCATCAGGCCGATACAAGCGACGGGCGACTTCGAAGAAAGGTTCTGGATTTTTCTAGTGATCGAATCATCAAAGGGAATGGTTGATGAATTACTTGGAAGAAGTCTATAGCGAAAACCGCGGTGGGATAAGGTAAGTTATATTGCTCCAAGTTTTCGTAAAGTCCACTTTTAGGGCTCCGAAAGTCTGGTATACCAGCAGCTATGACAAAAAATTTAATAGGATGTTAATTAAGAAATTTCGACATATGAGAGGGGAATAATCTTTCAGTCATTGGTTTCTTCCACCATTACTACAAGAAACAAAAAAGATGTTATCCGGTGGTACCTTAAACCACACAGTTCCCGCCACGATCATTGTGATGGGAAGGATCCTTTAGGGTTCACAGTCAGTTTGCATTCAAGGCGCATCAGCAAATCACAGCAACAGTGGAGAAAAAATACCGAACAAATGCAGATGTGAAAAACTACATGCACCAAATGTCGGTAGTCAACTACACTACATAGTGATTTGTCAACGTGTTTAAACGGAACTGTTTGTAAATCCAGGCCAAATTGTTGGGGGACTAGAAAACACACAATCACCACCAATGACACACTCCATTAGTCTTCTGAGTTAGACGCTGACTTGATAACGCTTTGGGAAAAAAACCTAAAGAAAACCTTCGATTGGAACACGAACTAAGGTGAACACTAGCGACCAAACAGAGTAACCGGGATAGTGAAATCCATAGGGTGAAGGCAATCTGGTATTGGAAATGTGGGCACTGATCAGATATTGCAACCATGGGACAACGCTTTCTCTAGATTCACAATCACGTCACTTCATCCTATCACAGGTCTTCCAAGGGGTGAGAGTGGCGGTTGCGGTGTAAAACAGTCACCCGAACGTGCGATTTCGACAAAATAAAATGAGCAAGGCTTATCACTGATTCACTTCTTCAGTACCAGATACAGTTGTCACCGTACGAACATTGTATATCAGAGTAGTGGTGGTATAGTAATTGAGTCGCTATTACCAGCGCGCTTAGGACCATCGTGTCATCTCAGGAGGGCACTTTAATGTAACGCGCTATCTCCAATCCCCGTTCACGAATTCTACGGAAGACCTATTCTGCTATCATGTTCCTGCTCCAAGTTTCACTTTCAGTTTTTACAACCATTAACCATGCACTTTCGTGCGTTGGTTTCGGTTGCTGTCTTTTGGCCGACATTTGGATAAAACAGCAGAATGACGATTAGAATGTTGAAAGCAAATTCAAGCGAAGATGGAGAATCCATACAGAATGTTGTTAGGAGAGTAACGAGTGGATGCATCAGCGCCACTGTTTGTGACACTCAGTGGCTCTAACCATCGGTGATCATCATCTCGAGGTCCCCAACCAGGGAGCCTAACGGGGCCTATGTGACGTAGTCTCCTGGTTAGGGTTTTCATACCCTCATGCCAGGTGTTCGTTTGACCACTACTGACCGTTTTCCAATCGCTAACAGCCTCAGCGAACATCGCTCGCGGTGGCAACCTATTTGGTGACACGCGTAACACATGTCCCAACCAACGTAATCTATGGAGGTCGATCATTTGCTCCAGTGGACGACCACGATTGCCTAAAACTCTAAGTCTAACCTCCATCTACAGTACTTAGTTGCATCACTCTGTCTTTCGTCGTACAATAATTTGGTTCGGAAACCCACACCCAAAGAGCCTACCGGGGCCTATATGACCGTGAACTCTGCTCCTGATTTTCTTCGAGCTGTAATGATTTTTTATAATGAATATTGTGATACAGGTAATGATGTATTAGCTTGAAGATGAATACCAGCAATCATCATGACCATCATCATCGTCATTCTGCCGTGCGACACAGTGAAACGAACTTTGCTGATTTCTACTAAGCTCACAATGTACACCAAGTA